CTCCCAAAAGAAAAACTTGCATTAGAAGCTTTGAGAAGAATGTCAGTCTTCACACTCATATAGTAGTTAACTGTAAACCAAAAGATCAAAGGTGTTTTGTTTTAAAAAGTTAGGCTGTTAATATATTTCTTGTTACACTCCAAATCAGAAAAAAAAAATTGTTGATTTAAAGTGTACTTATATTAAAAGATAGGTGTGTCATTTTCTGTTTCACATTTGGCATGGATGATTGCTCGGATTCATCACCTACATTGCTATTGTGAAAATCAGTGTTGTGTTTATAATGCATTTGAAGTGTGGAAAGGGAACAAGTGATCTGAAGAGGAGGTCTCAATTATTATTGGCCTCAAAACTCCTTTCAATGAACTGTGCCTACCATTATCCTTCATTTTTCACACAGGAAATTACCAGCCAACAGAAATAGCATGGAAGCAACACAAATGTGACCTAAACTTTACTGGTTAAAGTCTTAAAAAATTAGTTCAAAAAACCAATAATTTTCTTGAATTGTTGATTCCAAAATTTTTTCTGTAGAAATTTTTAGTTGAGCTGATATTTAGTTCACGTGAATTTGGGTTTTCGGGCAAATTTCCCTCTTGCCCTCTGTTGAACCTACATAGAAGTAGAGAGTGCACTTGGAGAAGTTCAGAGAACACAACTACTGCCTGTGTAGATGGGTGTGTGGACAGTGTGAACTAAAAATAAAATCCTAAGCCCTCTGCTAACTGAATGGACCCCCTCTAGGCCAAGAGGAGCCCAGAAACACCTTGAAACTGAGTTCCCAGCCATGATGGAATGGGAGAGATAAAGCACAATTACATACATATGATTTCCCTTCATAAATATTCATGAGCTCCTCCTATAGCTTGTTAAATATATTTATATTTGACCATCCTGCTCAGCGTGAAATCCTGTTGCTTTTTGCCTCTTCTTTGAAGCACACGTGCCTGGCTTCTGGCTGCCCGACAGGTTGCTACCTTTTAGAAGCAAGCTCTCCTTTTTCCAAAGTATAAACCTAGTTAATTAATTGTGGGGTTTTTTTTAGTTAACAATAGCTTTCTCTCAGTTTGAGTGGAGAGTAAGATTTGTGCTAAATATGCTTCTCAGGAATGCCAATTGGTGTTATCTGCCAGTGGCTTATTCTACATTTCCTCTCCCAGCACTGACCTTCTCTCCATATGACTCATAATTCTCCCCTCTCCTGCACAAGGTCACAGGGGTACAAGTTGTTATTATCTCTTAAAAACAGCTTGTAAGAAAAGGAGAAACTTTTTAAATATACACATACACATGTAGAATCATCAACAATGTGTGACCATAATGATGTAGATCAAGGAAAAACCTGAGCTCTGTTCTACCTGACCTAGTAACCTCAGCACCTCGCCAATACCTGGCATCAGCTGTTTCTCAAAAATAAATGTGGAATGTAGAATTAGACAAGTAATGTTCTTAACTTTATTTTCTATAACATCATCAGCCATCTCTGCTCAACTCTAGCTAAATTTGTCAACCTGAATGAAAGACATTTAAAAGGGATTTAAAATTTTTTTTCTAAAAATAAGAGTGACTACGAATGATAAAAATAATAGCAGGCAAGATTATTTTCAACTTTGTTAATGATTAGGCTCTCAGAACACTGTCCTGAGTGCTTATTATGTAAAATATTCAATGACTGTTAGGAGACATGATTTCTGTCTTTAATAAGCATAGTACAAAGGAGAATGACAAAATATTTTAAAACTCTGTCATCCAAGATAAACTATGAATGAAATAAGGTCTTTAGTGCTTTTCTTCTTCTTTAAGTCAAAACCAAGGTTTGAGTTTTAAAAATGGGGCATGGGAGGCTTTTATTCTGCATTCCTTTGGCAACAGACTGCTTCTTTCCCCTTGATTGGGCTGAGGATGTTGATAACGTCAAAGGAAATGCCTTACTGTGTCCCCTACCAGGTTACACTGTACCCAGTGTGACCAGGTCAGGGTTCTCATCTGTGTTGTAGAGAGATGTTCTGTGGTCACACAGCTAGAGACACTATCCACTTCTCCCGCCTTCTCTGCTGCTTCCAGAAGTTTTCAGTGCCCCCAAAATAAGGTTCTACAAGGCTTGCAAATGTGCTAAAATTGTTTAGAGGTGAGGTAACTTTATGTGTGAAAAATTTCTCACCTACCTCCCACTCTCCACCCCCATGCAAGCATGCTCCTATTGAATTCATGTGTGAACACCTAGATATTTCACTCTGACTCAACTTTCCATTCTCATATTTGATGAGATTGGTACAAATGAAATACATTTAATAATACAACCATATATTTTAAGCATATCTCAAATGTTTAATAACGAGATCAAGGAGATGAAAACAAAGCTAACAAAATACTTTTTTCATACAAAAGAAATCACAGTTGAACCCCATAACAAATAGCTAATTTATGGAGCATTTTCTACAACTTTGGCATTGTTGTAGTTGCATCCATTAATCCACATAATAACCACAATAGCTGCTAAGATGAGGGAAACTTTTAAGCATTGAGAGGTTAAGTGACTTGCCCAAAGTTGCCCCCAGCAAATGGCAGAGACAGGTTTTGAATACAGGTTTGCCTGACACGTAAATCTGATTATTAACCTCTATACTAAACTGACTCTGAGTAAGTGAGTTCTCAGAGTACCTCTTATATATTTAAAAATATAATATTGTTTGCCTAAAAGGTAGCAAACCATATTGGAGTATAAGTGCTGCTTAAATTAAGCAAGATATGCCTGTGGAAACCAGTGGTGTAATATCAGGATTTTCCCTCTAACTAATGAAGGGTATTTTCTTTGCAAGAGAATTAAGCACCAAATTGTGCAAGGCTTGAAATGCTCACTGAAATCAGGATTACACCCACTTTGGCATGCTGTGTCTAGCACCCAGGGCATAAGCAAAGAAAAGCAGGCTGGAGTGAATGGTTACACGTTTAAGCCTCAGCCATATATGTGGGTTAGTTTCCAAGTGGACATTTACTTTGCCTGTGTGTGCATCAAGTTGGTGTTTATTTGCCAAATATGTTATTTAGACCTAGGAAAATGACAGGATGGTCCCAGGGAAGTTTCACCATGATAACCTAACTAGGCTTCCAGCTTACTTTGCATAAAAGGGTCCTCAGAATGTTTGCTAAACACAACTTCTAATAGTTCACTGATTTGGGGGAGGCAGGAGAATCTATTTTTGCAGTAGGTTCTAATCGGGACTTGTGGACTGACACCTAATGTTCCACGTTGCTGTTACTGAGATTTAGAAACTTTCAATGCATTCCTGGTTCTGACTTGGGTGTGGGGAGGGAAAAAAAAGGGGAGCCAGAGATAATCTTTGTGAAAATCTAGCTTTTATTACATCACCTAAAGTAGCACAACCTGCTATACTAATGAAATCGTGTTCTTGGTTTAAAAGGGCAATTGTTAGCCTGACTTTGTGCTCACTAAAAACATTCCCCCAATCTTGTTAAGTTATTGCTCTCATTTCAGATTTTTATGGCTATGCAGCTTACCAACCCTCATTTCTTTATGTTTCATTCATTTTCCTTGTATTGATGATTAATGGAGGATGTCGAATGTTAGAGTGAGCAGGCATCAGCAATTGCAAGATCATAATTAGTTTAGCTGACGAGGGCCTCTGATAGCACTTGCATCTGGATGGAAAAATTACCCTATAGGGAACTGGCTGCTCACCAGGTCTTTTTAGTGATACATTGTGAAACACCCGATGAATCAAATGCCCTTTCAGTGCCAAGAAAGTGTTCCAGTCTTGAAGCCAAAATTATGTCTGCAGAAAGCTTTCCATTTGAAATGTATCAGAGTACAATTATAACCATTGTATTTTCTTGGCAGGGAGACCACTCTTCTACAGTATGGACTCGAGTTAAATAAATTGCCTAAATTTTATGAATCCCTGAAATTTTGACTTACAGCATTTGTAATATTTAATTTATAATAAAATTAGGTTCCAGCAAGACTTTTTCCACTGCTTATCTAACATGCATATTTTATCATTAAAGGCTTTGCTTCCTAGAGAAAAGAGAGCTGCGCTGCAATTCAGGCTTTTTTTTTTTTTTTCAGCAAAAGAATTCCATTTCCTGCCTGTTAGTATTTGTGCCTACACACACAGCCTGACTTTTGTTTAAATGAGAAGTTTAATGGTATCATTACTTGATAGCAAGAATGGAACAAGTAATACTAATTATCTGCCTTTAAATATTTTTAGATTATTTTTGAATCTGTTGATAACAGAATTCAGGCCACTAAAATCAATTTGTATTCAGAAACCCTTGCGATTTCCAAGTCTAAGTCTAATAAAGTAAATAAATAGCCGTTGAAGGGACTATGTTTTCTAGCTTAAGCAGGCAACATCATAAGGATTCTCATTAGTAATACTGTACTTCTCCTTGGCTGAAGTTTCATCGGGTCATCTCATCTTTGGGAAATAGAGGGCATTCTCTTTCAGATTTTACAATTGCAAATGAAAGACCATAATTGAGCATCTTATATTCTCTTAATACTTCTGTTACATGAATGACATACAAAAACACACAAATCAGGTTTAATTTTGTGCCAAGCTCGACTGTATTCTAAAGTTCAGGTAGTATGTGCTTCTCCTTTTTGCAAAGTATATTAAGCATATTGCCATGTTCTGTCTTTTTGACTTTTGTTTTGACATTTTTAAAAGGTATATTTTAGGGTTCAGCATTTAGGAGCCATCATTAAAGGCACAAAACCCAAAGTTCAAAAAGTTAAAGCTGTTTCTGTGAAAAGCCTTTGGTGTTCCACACACCTCATCCATCACTGTAGGGTTAATTATAATGAAAATCAGTGGTGCCTATTAAACACAATTGAACCTGACCTCATTATGGGCAGTGTGGTTTTATACTGTCATTGTTGCAAGTCTGAAGACAAAACTCCTGGGTTGATTTGGTCTAACTCCACTGATCATGTGACTCACCTCTGACCTTGGTTTTTTTTCCCTCTGTTTCAGAGGCGTAGAGGCTCCGGTGTTTTTTGTGCCAATTGCCTGACCACAAAGACCTCTCTCTGGCGAAAGAATGCAAATGGCGGATATGTATGCAACGCGTGTGGCCTCTACCAGAAGCTTCACTCGGTAAGAACTTGTTCCAGTTTCAGGAAAAGCTTTATAAAGCAGTGCTGGCTGGTCTGTAGTGTGATAAGTCCCATTCCTTGGCTTGCAATGTATGCCCCCGCAGGGTTGTTTAATACAGTCACTTTGAGTGCGCATGTGATTTATGGTGAAAGAGGCTTAGATGTTATGGGGAGATACGTTTGAGGTCATTAGTAATGCATTATGCTTCTTTTGATATAAAAGAGAAAATGATTGATTTCTGGGAATTTCACATAACAGATAGTTGAACTAATGGTTATCAGAATTTGGTGAAATTAGTTTAGGTAGAAAGGAGATATCTTTTTAATAAAAGTTTCAAAAACACAAAAAGTTTTTTTTAAAAAAAGAAAGAGAACTCTCCCATGTTCAGTATAAAATAGAGGGAAAGAATTCGTATTTTCCAGTTTACCTTCAGAATTTGCAAGCGTTGTTTTGGCTGCTTTGAGGGCTGGAGGGGCACATTCGGAGGGTGGGTCTGAACCAATCTTGCACCAAATAATATCATGTGGAGCTCAGCAATGCTTCAGGTGGGTATTTGGGTGAGGTATCCGTAGTCCTAAATAGTACACACATCAGGGTAGAGTGAGGTGCAAATGTGCTTTGCCTTTTAAGATCTCTGGCTGGCTTCAGCTCATGGATGTCCTTTAAATTACTTACACCAAAGTTTTAGTTAGAATTTTGTAATAAAATTTAGACTCACAAATCCCCCATCTGAATATACATTTGACTTCCTGAAAGATACATGTACTTTTTAAGTTTAGAAAGTCTATCTGCTCATGGAGGTCCTTTGAATTACTTTCCCCAAAATTGTAGTTAGAATTCTGTAATAAAATTTAGACTAACAAATCCCCCATCTGAATATGCATTTGACTTCCTGAAAGATGTATTTTTTCAGTTTAGAAAGTTTATCTGCTGACAAGAGCTGACTTTAAAACAGGAATACCCCGTTTAGTAAACAGAAATCTATTTCCCTGTGCCTTTTTCATTTTGTTTGGCATTTTACCATAGCACTTAGCACAAGCCAGTGAATACATTACAACTACAGGGAATACAGTTTTAGACAAAACATCCTCATAAATGGACCACTGGAAGCACTCTTTAAAAAATCCATGCTGCCAACAATACTAATTGATAGTAAACTGTAAAAACCTTAGTTACCGGCATGTAACTAGTAGAAAGATTCCTCCATCACCACCACCACATTCCACCTTACTTTTTTTTAACCTTCACCATTTAAGCACAGCAATAAGCTTCTATTTAATGAGTACTGACATTAATGATTTTAATTGAACTCTGGCCAATCATAGTCCAAGAATTAATTAAACTACTCTTCTGTGAGGTTATGGTAATTTACCCACTGTGATATAAACTAAACTATTTTCTAAAATTATTTTAGTATTCATCGCTCTGGAAGCAAGATGGTTTTAGTTTTAAGTTTTTGTGAAACTATATAAATTGAAATACATAAAGATTGTGCTCCTATTTCATGTCAAAAACATAAATGTATATAAAACACAAAAGTTACAAAAGCTTAAAAAAGGAATTGATGTCAATTTCAGGTTTCTTTATAGGAAAGAGATTGCATACGGCATATTGTTATAAAACTAATATGAGCTCTTTGTAAACCTGAACATTCTGAACAAAATAAATACACATGACATAACCAAGCTATCTGACATTTTCTCTCTGAAACTAATACATTTTCAGTAACAAGTGTGTTATCTTACTTTCCTTCAAAGTATCTTTGTGATAACAGAAATATTCCAAAAAGGATTTGTAGTTGTACTGTTTTTTAATATATTAAAAGGTACTGCCTTGCATTAAAGTACATCCTTTCTAGTAATAATTCACAAATTACATGTTGTTTCTATTCATATTTTATGTAGCAGTTATTTCTGGCTTTCAATAACTTAGAAAAATAAAATAAAATACATAAGCTGAATGAAAGTCAGCATTCACTTTAAGTAGAGAACACAATGACAGATGAGATATTTGAACCAAAACTACAGATGAATTTAGATTTTCAACATGAAACTAATGCTTCACCTATTAACAAGTAAAATCTTCCATAGTGAATATAAAATATTATTAAAGGAAGGGAAATAAAAGTCAGAGTAAAAATCCCTCCAACATGGCTTTAATTACCTGATATCTTTCTTCACAATTCTGTCAGTTTGTCTTTGATTATTTATGCTGTCATATTAATATTTTATATTCACATTTGCAGTTATTTAGAAGCATGCATGTATTAGTCAGCTTAGGCAGCCATAACAAAATATTAATACCATTGACTGGGTAACTTTAAACAACCAAAACTTGTTTCCTCACAGTTCTGGAGACTAGAAGTTTGAGATCAGGTGTCAGCATAGTTTACTTTTGGTGAGGGCTCTCTTCCTGGCTTAGATAATATTTTCTTTGCTGTGTTCTCACATGGTGGAGATACGTCTCTTTCTCTTCCTCTTCTAATAAGGCCACAATCCTATTGGACTAGGGCCCTACCCTTATGATCTCATTTAATCTTAATTTCTTCCTAGAGGCCCTCTCTATAGATACAGTCACAATGAAAGCAAGGACTTCAATGGATGAATTCGTTCAGCCCATAGCAATGCATATTTTTCTACTGTTGTCAACAATATGTATCTTCCATGTTACTAGGTTGACATTTTAGTGTACAACTCAAAAACTGAAAAATATTTCTGGAAAATTCCATTTTTTCAAGTTACTTTCTATATCGTTTTATCACTAAATGATGCAATCCCCAAATCTGTTGAGTTGGGAAAGGCTGTTTTCAAGTAGATTAAAGTTTTCAGTCCCCCCTGCAAGGATGGACATGATTTAATTAGGCTAAAATAGTGCACTTTGGTTACTTCCTCTGATCCTGCTTAGGGCAAAAGGAGGAGATTTAGTAAATCTACAGCATAAAGCCTAGCCTTGCTTTGAACTTAAGCATGGTTTATATTTGTGAGGAATTTTTAATGCATTTTAATGTATTTTTAATGTTTTCCTTTTATATATTGTGTGTGTTCTCTGCAGACTCCCAGGCCTTTAAACATCATTAAACAAAACAACGGTGAGCAGATTATTAGGAGAAGAACAAGAAAGCGCCTTAACCCAGAGGCACTTCAGGCTGAGCAGCTCAGCAAACAGCAGAGAGCTAGCAGTGAGGAGCAAGTCAATGGAAGCCCATTAGAGAGGAGGTCAGAAGATCACTTAGCTGAGAGTCACCAGAGAGAAATCCCACTCCCGAGCCTAAGTAAATACGAAGCCCAGGGTTCATTGACTAAAAGCCATTCTGCTCAACAGCCAGTCCTGGTCAGCCAAACTCTGGATATTCACAAAAGGATGCAACCTTTGCACATTCAGATAAAAAGTCCTCAGGAAAGTACTGGAGATCCAGGAAATAGTTCATCCATATCTGAAGGGAAAGGAAGTTCTGAGAGAGGCAGTCCTATAGAAAAGTACATGAGACCTGCAAAACACCCAAATTATTCACCACCAGGCAGCCCTATTGAAAAGTACCAGTACCCACTTTTTGGACTTCCCTTTGTACATAATGACTTCCAGAGTGAAGCTGATTGGCTGCGGTTCTGGAGTAAATATAAGCTCTCCGTTCCTGGGAATCCGCACTACTTGAGTCATGTGCCTGGCCTACCAAATCCTTGCCAAAACTATGTGCCTTATCCCACCTTCAATCTGCCTCCTCATTTTTCAGCTGTTGGATCAGACAATGACATTCCTCTAGATTTGGCGATCAAGCATTCCAGACCTGGGCCAACTGCAAACGGTGCCTCCAAGGAGAAAACGAAGGCACCACCAAATGTAAAAAATGAAGGTCCCTTGAATGTAGTAAAAACAGAGAAAGTTGATAGAAGTACTCAAGATGAACTTTCCACAAAATGTGTGCACTGTGGCATTGTCTTTCTGGATGAAGTGATGTATGCTTTGCATATGAGTTGCCATGGTGACAGTGGACCTTTCCAGTGCAGCATATGCCAGCATCTTTGCACGGACAAATATGACTTCACAACACATATCCAGAGGGGCCTGCATAGGAACAATGCACAAGTGGAAAAAAATGGAAAACCTAAAGAGTAAAACCTTAGCACTTAGCACAATTAAATAGAAATAGGTTTTCTTGATGGGAATTCAATAGCTTGTAATGTCTTATGAAGACCTATTAAAAAAATACTTCATAGAGCCTGCCTTATCCAACATGAAAGTCCCTTCTTTTTATTATTTCTTTTGATGAGTAGGTTACCAAGATTTAAAAGTGAGACAAATGGTCAGTGAGAAAGAATAGAACGTGGTAAACAATCATTTTTTTAAAGCCTAGTAAGTCAAAATCATCTTGGCTAATGTGTACTGGGAAAATAATCCGTAAGCGGTATTACCAGATGATAGTTAATGTTTGTCTAGAATTTGAAAGGGTTTCCATATTATGATACTAAAACAGTATTGGGCTGGCCATTGGCCCATTTGTTCAAAAACCCATAAATTGTCTAAATTTATAAGTATCATGAAATCCTTGGCAAATGGAGGAGACATTGAATCTCCAGGGCAATGGAAGGCAAATGGCACCCTCTCAAATCAGTCTCCTCTCGTTGACCATGTTTCAGATTTTACCAAGAAATGCGAGCTGTGGTTAGGCTTGGTTAAAGAGCAGCAAGAAACGTGACAGATGGTGGCACATTGTTTTTGGCCAGCCCTGCCTGTACATACACATGCACACCCTCTGATATTTTTGTCCTTTAGATGTTCAAATATTCAGTAGTCTTTTGGTTTGCAGTTTAGGTTCATTTGTCCATATATATCCATTTTAAAAAACGATGTCCTCGATGCTTACGTAGTAATTTTATTTTAGCCAGATATTTCTTTCTTGTATGTGAGGAATCAGTTTGGATCTGTTCTTTGTGTGTTTTTTAAGCCTCCTGTTGGTCACTAATCTCACTTGGCACATTGTAACTAAAGGAATCCCCTCAGTTCAAAGGAATAGATGGATACAGATGTCAGACCATGGGTTTAATTTGTTTAGAACACATGGTATTTCTCCACAAGGTAACCTGCTGTATTTATTTATTTTCTTTTGGTTAAATATAATTTCCAAACTTTGTGGTCAGGCAACTTCTAAGGTTACGTTACCACAGACTGACAGTTGGTATATGTACCAGTCAATCCCTTCATTAGATGTATACAGGTTTAGTTAAGTAGCATTAAATAGGATTCTTAGAAGTATGTCTTCATAGTACTTTTAATACTTAAGGCTTTGTAAAAACTATCCATGAAGGGAAAGCTCCTCAGCATAACTGCTCAGGGAAATAGGGCTAAATAACTGAACATTAAATAATTGGTTAAAGGTGCTGTTAGTCGAGCCTCAATGCTTGCTACAAGGATGTATGTACAAGGACTGACTTTAATAATTTGCATTATATTGTCCCAACCAGTAGTTTATTTTTTGCCACGGAGATGTAGAAGATATTACAAGCTACTGGATGCACTGTCAGATTAACTTATTTCATTAAAGAAGTTGGGAGAACAAATAGGAAAAAAAAACTTATTTTTCTAGTAAATATTAATGTATTACATTTCAAATAATGGTGCCTGACATATTGAATAATTATTTTCTACAGTGTACGTATGCAACAAAGATATTCCATCATGCATTAGAGTCAGTTCTGGCTCTGCCTAGCTGTTTACATTTGCAAATGTAGCAAACAAGGTAATGAAGCAACTATTTCTATTGCAGTAGATATCTTTTTGTGTGTGTGTGTGTATGTGTGTGCATTAAAGTTGTAAACGGTAACATGAAACAAATGAAAGTTCTTGATATAATGGTATGGAAAACAAGAAGGAAATGAAAATATTTTTATGCCTACTTAGGAAAAAAAAGGGTAGCACTATTCATTCCAAGTACTTTTTTTTTTAATTTTTAAGCTCTTAACTCACATTGTTATGCTTAAGATGATAAACATATATCCTCTTTTTATTGCTTTGTCTATGTTTCAGATGAAACATTTCAGAAATTATTTTGATAAGTGTTGCTGGAATCTGCAGCACTGATGTTTTTATTGCATTCTGTAGTCGCATTTGCACTCCATTTTTACATTAATTTGCAGTTGCTTTGTATTGTTTTGTTTTGTTTGGGTTTTGTTTCTTTTTCACAGTGCCGGGTCTTCCTTTCTTAAAGTTGGATGGCAGGTAGAGTTCAACCAGTTCATGACTGTTGTAGTGAATGAAGTTAAAAATGTCTTTCTGATGTTGTGTTGTCATTTTCATTCTTGCATTTTCGTTTGCATATTAAAAAAGAAAACAGAAAGCAAGAGACAGAAATCAGGACTAAGTCCTCTGCTTCAGTTTCATTGTTTAAAGGGCCCTATTCTGATCTCACCTGTCGCGTAGCTCTAATATTCACATAAACTGAAATAAAGAGGTGGAATGAGGAGCTTTGACTTTTAAATTATGTGATGTAATTTATCTTTCTTAGGAATTTTAATGGATGCATCTCAAAATATACAGCCAGACTTGAAAGGTGACAATTAAAGATCTAAAAAAAAAAAGAAAATTTCCAAACAATAATTTTCTTAATACAAAGAATAATAAAATGCACGATAGCAATCCCTTCAAGTAACATTTTCTACGTAGACTGCTCAAATCAGCAAAATACCAGAAGTTTGGTTAACTTGAGCAACATTACAGGTATTACTTTTTGGGCAAAACTATTCATTATGCAGTGTGTCAGAACAAATAGGCTGTTCATTTTTGGCATGTACGCCTTTGTTTTTTTTCATGCAATTTTTTTTTCTCAGACAGACATAGTAATGACTAGTATCGGAAAATACATATCACTATTCTTGGAATACTTATGGTCAGTCCACTTTTCAGTAGAATATTTTTGGATAGCATTGACATGATAGATCTTATTCCATACTCATTTATTATTATTTTATTTTCATCTTTGCTTTCATAATGATACATATTTTGGTAGAGAAGAGGTTGGGCTTTTAATAAAAGAGACAAAAATTTATCATAACACTAAAATATTTCTTATTTTTGACTTATTAAAGCCTTTGTTCCATCTCTCAAAATATATTACAATAGTTTGTTTTTTTGGTTTTAAAATTTCTGAATCATTTCATCTTAAATTGTGGTTTTAAATGAGATATTTAGGTACTTAACCTTTTTTGTGAGGACTTTCACAATTATTTAGGAGTTTTCTTTCTTGGAAAAGGCTTCCCCTATGATAAAAAAAAAAAAACAAAAAACTGTATGCCAGCTAAAATTGTATGCCATAACTGACAGTCTTTTAAAATTACTTGTCTATATTCTGAATTAAGTTTTGGATCAAACTTTAAACCAGGACAAACCTCATGTGTTTTCACTCTCGCACTTCCTATATTCATTTTGTTGTTGGGACAGAAAAATCATGAAGAGCCAGCCCACCTCAGAAGGTTGTGGATTGAGAGAGACACTACACGACTAAGTATAAGATAAAAGGATAGAGCTCTAAACGTTAACTTTATAGTTGGAGAGGAAAAGAGTGTGCCCAATACTCTCTACATGACATATTGAGATATTTTTTTTATTCAACTTTTAAGATAGTGATGTTCTGTTCTAAACTGTTCTGTTTTAGTAAAGGTAGATTGTAGAGAAAACAAGCATGGGATTCTTTTCTAAGGTAATATTAAAGAGAGGGGAATAAAAGTGATTATCTTTAATAGTTCTTTGTTGAAGCCTGTGGTAGCACATTATGTTTATGATTGCACATGTGCACATAATCTATTATGATCCAATGCAAATACAGCTCCAAAAATATTAAATGTATATATATTTTAAAATGCCTGAGGAGATATGTTTTTCTTAATAAATTGAAGAGTCTCAGTAGTGCTATTAAAATAATTATTAGCCTCCTGCTGTGGGGCTGCAAAACATCACAAAGTGACCTGTCTTGAGACCTGTGAACTGCCTGCCTGTTTAGTTGATGAAATTAACACATTTCTACACAAGGAATATCTTCCATCCAGCGGTGGAAACTTGGAGCAAAGAAGCTAGTGGTCTGCTTCTGTGCTGTATGCCAGCCTTTTACCTAAAGTTGAGATGAGCTCATGGTCACTATCTTTGGGTTGAGGGCCATGGCAAAAAAAAAAAAAAAAAACAGAAAAAGAACAGAACCCATAGTAAAAAAAAAAAAAAACCATGGCAAAAAAAAAAAAAAAAAGGGGAAAAAAAAAACCAACTCAAGGCATCGTTGGTGAGCAAGTAGGTGAAAGCTTGCTAACCTAGACACAGGAGAAAACTGAGGAATTGAAATGCAACTTGAGTATGAAACTAAATATGCTAACCAAAGGTAGGTACTGTTAGGTTGAAGTCTATCAGCAGGCAACTGCAGATGAGAAGAGGATAGAAAGACACACATCAGGACTTTGGAGGGCAGTGTTATTTTCCCAAAGAACGACTTGGCCAAGGGCAGAGACATGGTTTCTTTGCAGAGCACTTACTTTTGGTTTTCCATTCCCATTTCATAGACAGCGGACTCACATGTTCCTGATCATGGTGCAGTTCTTTAGAAAGCATTCTGCTTAATTGCAGTAACTAGAACCTCTGGAAGATCCTAGGGCAGGAACGAATCGAGTTAGGGATAAAGAAAATGTGAAATTCAACAGTAATCCACCCATGGAAACTGGATAATGTGTGTTCATGTTCTCTTGAATGGAAGGGTAGAACTGAAAGCTGCACTCCGTCTTACACTAGAAAAAATCAAGAGTAACTTTACATAGAAATAATGCTTCGCCTTCATCAGAGAAAATGGTCCTTCAAAACCCAAAAGTCCCAAAACTCAATCCTGGTTTTACCCCCAATCGTTTTTTCAGTATATGAACTGCAGCAAATCACTTTTTCTTTTTGTGCCTCAGGTTCCTCGGCTGTAAAGTGGAAAAAATATGTAATATTAATAGTAATAATAATAATGGTAATGTAGTACTTGTTTGTAAAGCACTTTGCGATCCTTGGTTGAAAGGCACTATGGGAGTGTCAAGTATTATTATGTGGCCAAGGGGATTATTTAAACTCAGTTCCCATGGGCCAGGAAAGGTTGGGGTCATTTGTGTTAAAGATGAGCTGTAAATATCCTAATTAGGCAGCTATAGTGTTGACTGTGAAGAGGCACACTATTACAAGGCTGATAAAACCATAGTTTCTTAATGGCTACCAACAAGGCAAATATCTCAATAACAAATGCCAAATTCCTTAGGATGGACTATTTGACAACATGAATAATTTTTTTTTTGGGGGGGGGAAACATCTCAAAATGCCAATGTAAAATTAACTTACAGCAATATTCACCAGCAGAAAATGTCTTTCATATGGAATGATTTCATGTTGCTAAGAAAAAGAATTCAATTTGTAGTCCTGATTTGAATATTAGAATGTTGGCTATAATAGTTCTGTTCTTACAACACATGAAACTTTTTCGTTTTATTTTATTTTGTTTTCATAGTGCATGTTCATTTCTACTCACAAACATGTTCTTGGTGTATTTCTTATGCAAACAATCTTCAGGCAGCAAAGATGTCTGTTACATCTAAACTTGAATAATAAAGTTTTACCACCAGTTATACATAATGGTGTTGGTATGGTTTATATGGATTCACTTTCATCCATGTAGCAATAGGAAATACAGACCATTGTAACATATAGACAGGCTCTGATGAATTGAGATAGGGAAATCAAATCACCATTTTTAAAATATTATTTAGATTGATAAAACGTAAATTCTAAACTTGTATGGTCTTGCTTTGCTTTTTTTTCCTTTAATCAATCTTTTATTGGTAGATTTGTATAAAACAAATATATATATACACACATATACTAGTTTCTATAGAAAGATTAATAAAAATTTTGTACATTTCAAAAACATTGAGTATCAAATATTGAGTGTTGAGTATTCAGTAATGATTATGTTACAGTATGTAGGAACTCCTACCTTGAAATTTAACTTTGATTAAAATCAATATTCTCACATGAATATGATGCGAAGATCCTGATAAATCATCTCCAAAAATTCCAATTAACATGTCAAATACTTTGTTTGTTTGCTTAAAATTGAACTAATCAGAGCAAGTTTCCTGAAGGATGATCTGGAAAGGGAAAAGAGGCAAAAGAAATCCACCTAAGAAAAGAACATGACAAGACTTACCTGAGTGTTTTTAACCAGAAAGAAAACCATAAAAGGGCAGGACATAGAGCATATAGATAATTGATTCAGAAGATTTGTTTTGAAAGTTTTAAGATAATTAGTATCTACCTTCCTTACACAATCTTCATTTCTCTTTTTTATGAGCCCAAATCAAGGAACAAATCCTTTTATCACTTGTTCTCCCTTTTTCTTTCCTGTTTCCAGGTGTTTTGAAGATAGCAGAGTTTCTGAGGGCCTTTCATAATGGTAATAGGCTTGATACACAGCTGGAGTCCACCATGTTCTCTAGATAAGAATAACACTGTCATGTGATTTCTTTTCCTTAGATAGATTTGTTTCTTCCATCAGGGACCACCCTTCAGACAAAGTTGAATACACTTTGTTTTCACTTAGGAATGTCAGAATCTCATTAAAGGAGAAATATGAAGCCATCAGCTTTCTACCATTGTTTGAGAGGAGAGAAGTGAGTAACTTAGCACCATCAGTGTCTGTTCTCACCTTTTGGTCCTTCCATCTTTGTGAGGGCAGAGCAAGGATCAGAAAAAGGAAAATCGGAGGACACAGAAGGAACAGGCAAGTAGCCTACATGGATGAAGCCAGCTTGGTAGTGACAGGGAGCTGTCTGTTTCTTATACGTAGAGTCTCTTATAAGCTGTCTCTTAAACGTAGAGCTCAATCTCTACGTGTAAAAGTAGTCTTTTCTCAGCCCTAAGAATATTGCCAAGAGAGAGTGTTTGACTTGTGTTACTACATTTTTGGTTTTCAAGGAAAACTAGACAAAGGGAATTTTATATGAAATCTAATTTTTGTGTTTGTAGCTGGATTTTTTTTAATACTGAAAACCAAACAAAACACTTGTTCAGAATAAATTCTAGCCCTAGACTGCCAGAATGTGATCCCTGGAGTTCAAACAATAGTGAACTCTGATAACTATCAGGGAAGAAATTGGGCAAAGGGCTGAGGTTAGTTGTTTTCACTCTGGGTTTTATGTCAGGTCCCAGGCTATCTCTACCTCTACCAGGAAACCCGAAAGTATCATGGCGGCCTCACCTACCCAATTCCTTCAGAGCCAAATTTACTTAAAACTAAAAACATTAGCAAAGAAGAGAAACTCTATTTTTCGGCATACTGCAAATTACTTTATACTTTTGCTCTCCATCTTTGTAAGTTGGGGTTGTGTTTTTGTTCTGGATTTTTTTTTTAAACATGCCAGTATGAACAAAGTTACCCTTTCATGAACAAAGAAATGTCAGAAACTATTAAAAAGTAGCTAGAGTTAATGTCCACTAATGCTCGGGATGCCTTTATATTAGTACTTCTCTCCATAACATATTTAAAGTGAGAAACACCAGAGACAGAGAAAAAGCATAACAGTAGATGGGGAGGAAAGGCATTTTTCATATCATAGTTGATCATACTAAGGAATAATTTTAAAACTCTAAAAAGTAATTTTTTAAATTAAATATTTCTAGTTTTATAATATTCTCTAATATATTTAGGATGTCAGCAATCTTAAGACCATCTTTCATAAATGTACTTATATAGGACATATTACATGATTTTTTTCCCAATTTCCTGCTTAATAACAACAACAAACAAAAATCCTTAACAAATATTAACTATTATCTTCAGGTAAGGAAGAGAGGCTGGGATAGTAAGAGTTATAAAAAGAAAGAAAATATAGTAAAAATTGCTTAAATTATTTCCATAAACAGAAAGATAATTTCCAAGTTAAAACCACATCTGCACTAAAGTATAAGCAGTTTCCCTAGAATATATATGAACCCAAACCCACAAATACATCATAGACTTTTTCTCAGAACATATACCACCTCTTACATGAAAGTAATGCCTGTCACCACCATGTTTACACATTAGTTTTTGGGATATGTAACCAACAGCATTTCCTTCAAAACTTAAATATTCTTATTTTCTTTCTACATAATATGTATTGCTCAGTGTAATTGATCTATTTTTAAAAGAATATTTATACAACAGTGAGTTTGCCAAGCATGACTGGATATCATAGTGTATTTTCTATAATTATATTTTTATAATTATCTTGATTCTTTCTCCATTGAAATTATCATTGCCATTATTGTGATGTTCATTGGTGTTGATACATAGTACAAACCCAGCTTCATTATACAACATCCATTCAGTCAACAACTATTAATTGAACATTTACTATGTGCTGGACACTAGTCCAGGCATTTGGGATATATAAAAGAAAAGAGATCAAAACTCCTTCCTATATGGAAGGGAAACAGACAATAAATGTACACACAAACAAATACATGAAAAACGTTGCATGTTAGAAAGTGATAAGTGCTCTGGAAAAACATCAAGCAGTGTTAAGACAAGGTGGGATGGATGGAATCATATTCAGTAGGATAACAGTATCAGTTGAGCCAAAACTTAAAATAGGACAAGGAGAGTAGGCCCTAAGGTGAGAGAATACACATGGTAAATTACAAGAACAACAAGGAGAACAGTGTAGCTGGGGCTGGATGAAGGAGGGGGAAGGTATTTAGAGATGCCCACAGACATAAAGCATTGAGGTGGCAGGAAGTCAGATCATTTACAATATTGTAGACCACTTTCTACAGTAGACAGATTGTAGCTTCTGTTAGAGTAGGGAAGTAATTTAGTGTTTTAAGCAAAGGAATGTTGTGTGATTTATGTTTTAATGGGACCAATCTCTGCTATTCTTAGAATAAATCATGGGAGGTAAACAGACAAGGATGGTTGCAAGGAGACCAGAGAGGAAGCTAATTCAGTAATCTCTGTAAGAGATGAGAGGAGCAGAAAAATACTTTAAATTCCAGATAACATTTTGGTGGTGAAACAAACTAGATTGCCTGGATGTAGAATGTGAGAGAAAGAAAAGGGTCAAAAATTCTAAGATTTGTTGGCCTAAGCAACTGGAAAAATATCTATCATAAACAGGAAAGATTATTGGTGGA